TATTATGCAATGCAGCGCAGCAACTTTGTTTACTCTCGTGCTTTTATTTTGCTTTGCTCTTGTTCTAGCAGAGTTCAGTCTATTTTATCGTTAAGAGGGTATTCTTGAAAATTTTCAATAGTATGTTGATGCCTCGTGCACTCATGACTCTCAAAAAGATGTCTTGTTGGTCCACATTGAAACTTTGCATTGTCCTTAATCTGAATGGCGGCTACTTAGGGCTGGATTAGCAACTGAACCCTAATATCATCTTAGCACAATTGGGTTCGAAACTTCCTTACAAAGTGGGAAGCATAAAAAGTCTAACTAATTTCAGGTCATGCTGCGCTCAACAATATTTCAAAGCCAGTTTAGTTAGTGTCCTTTAAAAAATTAGACATCTGACTCTTCAATTAGAATATTCCCAAGCTCGAGCATTCAATCCTGAGAAGGATTTTCTTTCTAACTTCCTTAAATTGCTTGAAAATCATTCATCATCCATTCTGAAGTTTTTGACTCTCAAATTTTGCCGTTGCATGCAGTACTATGGGTTTATTGCATTGTTTTCTAATTTTAGCTTAAAGATTTGTATGGAATATTACCCTTTGATGAATGAACTTCACAAATAAGTTTTCCATATCTCTTATATCTTTCTTAGCTATATTGCACTTCGATTTGGAGCGCGCCACTTTTTGCCTATCCATGCCCTTTACGGAATGGCATATTCATCTTTTCCCGACAACAAAAGAAAATCGACATCCTTTTCTGTAGTTGAACGTATGAATGCATTTTTTCGTGCTTTATGCTAATCAGCTGACTCATCCATTGTACCAGCATTGAGATAGAAAAGACGTCTCCGGCGATTTTCTTATCTGTTTGATTGTTTTTTTTTTTTTTGCTCGAAGACGCCATTAATATGCATTGAGTTCGTTGATACTGACATGAAGCTTGGTGCTATATTCTGAGTTCTTCATTCATATAATTTCTCTAGTAAGGTTTCTACGAAGGTTCTAATATGGCACATACAAAATAAAAAAATTCTTGCAATCCCTCACATTTAACTTATTCTTAGTGATGAAATTGCTGTACCCTTTATTAGAACTAGAATATTTGAGGTGGCGGCCAACTACGTTCCAGCATAATTTTAGCCTCGATTCTTTTCTTGTTTCTCCCAAGCCGACCCGCTTTCTTTTTATGACATCTATGTGCATGCGAGGCCTCCTCCACTAATCTTCTGTGCACCATTCGATACTAAGCCTTGTTTCATTAACTATATCTCATAGCTGGTGTTATATGCGAAGAATTTTCTATACACTCTCTTCTGTTTTCCTCCAGATGATGAGTAATGTATGACACAATAAAAATCGAGAATGACAGAAACAAGCAGGTTTTTTGCAAGAATTGCCGTGACGCCAAGGAATGTAGCATTCAATACAAATCAATTTGCTATCTGATTTCGTTTTTGCATTTCTAAACATACATCGTAATATTAATTTTCGGTGGATCACATGAAGTCTGTTGCGTTATAATTTAACTTTTAAAGAATTTTTAAAGCTCTGAACTCTTTGAAATATATAGCAATATATAATCACTACTTGAATTAGATACTGTATATACATATTATTGATTTTCGATTCTCAAATCTCTTGCAAAATTTTTCAGAAGCTATTTAAATCACTTTCAAAAAAGTTAACCGCGTTTATCTTCATGACTACTCACCTGATTATCTTATTAATATTTTTTCAAAGTTCAAGGTATTCAAATCTTTTCAAACAAGTGAAGACAATAATTGAAAGCTATTAGATATGTAAAGCGAACTTGTGGATAATATCAAAAATAAAATATAGATTCTTCTCTTTAAGGCAGTTCGTTCACATGCTTAACTCGTTGCTAACAATAAGATCCTAATCATAATACGGGTTTGGAATTTTTTTTGCTTTATTATAATGCCTTACACAATGACAAATAATCTGGTTTAATTGTATAAGGACGCTAAGCCAAATCTAATTCGGCTCCTATGTCTCTAAGAAGTCACAACAATTAAAGAGCTTTACAATTAATTTAGCGCTTTTTATGATTCCTTTTTATCAGTCACGCTCTCGTAAATGCCTGTTTGAAACTATGTTGGCTATACATTTCAGTGCTGACTGCTGCTTTTTCCATCATTGAAAGCTTGAAAACATGTCGGATTTACTACCATCGTTAACCTTTCATCGACCCTTTCATGACAATTAACTGAGTGCGCGATGAGACCAGTTACCCATAGCTACACCTCCCTAACATTACGATTACTTGTTTGCAGAGAAGTTTCTAAGAGTCTTGAAAGAGATATTTTTGTCAGGTATTCTAGAGCATACGCAGGAACAGAAATCCACTCAAACTAGAATTGGAAAGCTCCTTTTTTGGTCATATATCACAAGAAATTTCGTCATTATTTGCATTTCACGGGGTCATGATTCATATGTGAACGAGGAAGGAAAGTTGAATATTAGACAAGCGATGAGCCAACATGTGATATGTGTTTGCAAAATGTCAAAAGTTCGCTTAGTCCCATCACATAGGTCTTTCACGATGTCTCGTTGAAAATTCCTGTTCTCTTTTTGGTTTTAATGACAAACAATCAATTTTGTTATTTTTTATCATTTGAGAAAGCAGTCGCTTCTGGAATTTCTGCGTTACCATCTGACCGATTCTTGACACTAAGCTACACGAATCGATAGTTCTGTGAATCAGCGTGGAGAAGCAATTCGCTCTTATCTGTCAGCTAATATTTCCCCATTTCTTCCGATTTCTTTACGTAGAGATGGCGGCACCTCAACGTTTCACTCTCCCGGTAAGAAACCCAGATGGATTGGTTGTTTCATCTAAGCCAAAGCGATAAAACATTTCAGAATATGCCGTTTCGGCGTGAAGTGCACAGTGGTTGTGCGGTTGGAACGTCTATATCAATGAAAGCAAGAGCATATAAAGATAGGGCAAAGTAAGTTTGAAACAATATTTCTTATTGTTTCTGAAAGTTTAGCTAATTATTTCATTTATCTTCAATTAATAAGATGCTCAACAATTATTTTTCTGGACATATATACCTATTTGTCGACGATAATGGTATTGGTATTCACAATACCTACCCTCTCCTTGGCGAAGCCTAAACTCCTTCTATCCGCAGGAAGCCGTGCGCGTTCTAGTCTTTACAATCTACTTTCCAAGCACAGTGGGCAATTTTGAGCATGTGCTGCATGAAGAAGTGTTCTCTAAAGCCTGATGTAGAGCTTTATGAGTGGTAGTAAATAAATTTTTTAGAAAGGGATCCTTTAAAAAGTAGTGACGTCAAAGCTTTCTGTTTTTTGTTTTCAGAAGGTCACTGTCATTTCAAAAGGTGCTCAAATGAAAAAAAAGTTACAAAAGGATCCACGACATTTCGTTGTACTTATGCTATTATTGAAGATATTCGGCGAACTAGCCTTCCAAGAAAATTTTTGAAAAATCCTCAGTATTCATTAAAGTAATATACACTTGAAATCTCTCGTCTACAGCAATTATCATTTGTTTTTGTAATATTAAAACAGAACCTATACACAAAAGTGAGTAGAAAGACAAGGTTATAGCTTCATGAATGACATTTGATCCACACGAGAACTAGTTCTACCTCTACTTCAGACGAATAACAGGAATAATAACTTCACAGAGTCATCTGAAAAATCTGTCTCGCTTGAAGTGATCGTAGATCTTTTTACTCCTCTCAGAGATGCACTGTCTATTCAGAAACAAACCTTTTCCGACCCATTGGATTCATCAACCTACCACCTTCACTTTAATTGTCAAACAGTTTCCTGCAATTTTCTGCCGCTATGCCAAAGCAGTAAAAATCGCAAATTGCATAAATTTAGGTGTAAATCGATTTTTTCATGTAATCCAGGTCTAGTGCAAGTTTGGGTAATGCTACATAAACCGGATACAGATGTAACATACGACTAACACTCTATTTTAAGTTGTTTGACAGCTGCGCCTTATTTTATTTTCGTTTCCACTTTTTGACAGTAAACTTTTATAGTGGAAATCCTTATAATTTTGAACTTAGGGTAGCATACAGCCTTTGAAAGTTCCTAGAGCCAAGCTTGATGTTAAAGCTTAGAATAGGAATGTAAGACTTGAAGAAATTGGGTTGACCTTCAATGAAGCATACGCACTTTTATTAACCTAATAAAATACTATCGCGCACAATGCTGCTCCAAAAAATGTGTTCGCATTAAAAGAATTCTAATATAATATAAAATTTACTGCTTCCAATCATTGGCTACATAACATTGGCTAAGCATCTTATATTCTTGTTATATAAAAGGCAACGAAAATGCCAATATGAGACAGACGTCATTTCAAGTATATTCAATGATAAGATTTGAGATGACGCGATAATTGATTGAATGCTCTTTGCTTTGATAAACAAGTGATTAAACAATTTTTTTTGAAAGACAAGATTTGAGGGGAGTTTCTGTTGTAAGCTCACGCTGAACTTGGTTTGCTCGCATCAAAAGAACGAAAGGTAATCCGCTGGGAATTACCACATATTTGAAAACTTGTCATTTCGTATGATTTTGATTGAGAAATTGCTTGTGGAATTTTTTACCTTCGTAATACCAATTAAAGTGTAAATTATAAACAAGCCATTAATTCGTCTGTCATAAGCCATCTCTCATCTCGACTGATGGGCTGTTATGTGCAGATTATAGGGGGAATCTGAACTAATCTTTTTCCACATCCAGGATGCTTTTAATAAACTACCTTTCACAATTACTCAACTTCAGAAGTTTTACATTGCAACTAGCTTCAGTCAATGATCTTGCTGTACTCGTCACAGTACCGATCGCCAAAAGTGGAAAGGTGAGCTTTTTGAGCAGCAGTGTAACACATCTAAATCGACTTCAACTAGACCTTCCAGATTACTGCAAGTGCAAGAATTGAAGGGAAGTTTACAAGCGAAGTTGACAAGAAGATATTTGTTCCCGTTGATATGAACTTCAATCTTCATTTGAGAATTACCCAATTCGTAATAGAGGTTAGATTGAGTGTTCTCTCCATCTTAACACACAAAATATTTTGTTACAGATTTACTACAATGACGAACATATGCTTGATTTTGTTCATCGAGTAAATCCTATGGATATTAAGGAGGTGCACATTGAAGGTCCCTTGATAGTTGAGGAAGTCATCTTCTCCCCTCCTCAAGGTATCGCTTATCTAATTTGGCTATTGATATTACTGTAATATTAAATATAGTAAGTGAGTGTTAAACTGAATATGAATGAATGAATGAATGAATGAATGATTGAATGAACGAATGAATGAATGAATGAATGGATGAATGAATGAATGAATGAATAAATAAATAGATAAATAAATAAATAAATAAATAAGTAAATAAATAAATAAATAAATAAATAAATAAGTGAGTATCCATGCAACACTTTGTCTAAAGAAATGGAACAAAATGAAGTTTTTGATTTTGTTATACAAAACTTTTTATATTTAGAATTTTTTTCAAATAAAAAATAACTTGCGAAATTAATTAGAAAGATTTTTCTTTCTACTTTAGGCGCTTCTCTTGATCCTCTACCATCATATGAGCAAGCTACAAAGATGGGATCTGACCCTATAGCAGAGTTTCGACATCTGAACCTTGGTATGCTATAAAAAGTCATTTAAACACAGCTGCACCTCTTCATTCATACCTCAGGTCCACCTTCATCAAGCCTCACTCCAACACCTGCTCCTGTGGTCAGCTCAAGCTCCCCATTTCCCCAGCCAGCTCCATTCAGTGCATCTGTGGTCAACAATCCTTTACCCGGGATTCCTTTGCCAGCAGGTATGCATTCTCTGCAAAAATGGGCGAAGTTTGAACAAATTTTCTTTCAGCATCATCTTCCTCAAACCCATTTGGTCCTTCCTTTTCACAACAAAATTATGGTGTACCACCTGGGTCTGAAACCTCAAAACCATCAAGATACGGTAAGTTTCATTTCCATTTCGCTCTTACCCCAAACATATTTTTGTTGATTTTTAGAAAATAATCCAAGTTTCACACCAACAGCCTTTCAACAAGCTCAACAAGGCCAACCCTATGGAACTGTTCCATCTCAATCGTCACCTTATGTAACATCTCCTACACCAACACCAAGTCCAGCACCTGCTGCAAATGTTTCTTCGACTATGCCTGTCCTTCAGCCAACTCCTTATCCATCCAGTTCACAAGCGCTCCGACCTATTCCCTCTGCTGGACCAACACCCAACATGCCCTACCCTCAAATGCCACCGCCTCAAACTCAGAATCAGCCGTATCAAACACCTATGAATCCATATGGATTTCAACAGTATCCGATGGGAGTTCCGACAAATCCACAAGGAGTCGGGGCAAGTCTTTATACTCGTTACCTTTGTATTTTACATTTATGAATTTACTTGTTATAGGGCTATTTTGCTCATTTTTGTTTGTTCTCAAATAATCACAGTCGTAAATATCAAAAAATGTCAAAGTATTAAAAACAAATGTTGTCATCCGTAAGACCCATCTTGAAACCTAGGCATGATGATGAACTGATCTTAATGTTGTTATTGCCGTGATAGGTTTTTATAGGAACACTTTATTGTGCCTTACGTTTCGGCTTAATGCCGTCTCCAGAGGCCTGAAAGTGAGTCAATTACCTATCAGGCGCTTATACCATCAAACACCTCTGCCAC